ATGGATATAGATGAACTAGAGAACACTATGCTAAGTGAAATGAGTCAGAAAGATAAACACCAGGGAGAGAAGAGTAGCTGGAGGTTGAAATCAATAGCCAATGACCATTGACTTAATCAATCACACCTATGTAATAGAGCCTTCATAAAAATCCAAAGGACACAGTTGGGAAACAGATTCCAAGTGGTGAACACAGGGAAATTCAGGGAGATTGGTATGCTCAGACAGCATGGACTCTCCAAGTGCCTTCCCACATATCTTGCCCTAAGCATCTCTTCCACGTGGCTATTGTTCCAACATATATCCTTTTATAATATGCTGCCAATCTAGTAAGAATAATGTTTCTCTGAGTTCTGTGAGTCACTCTTGTATATTAATAAAATCCAAGGGCAGGGGGGAGGGGGCAGGCCTTGCTGGAACTTGCAATCGATAGCCAGTAGGTCAGCCTACACCCTGGACTTGATATTGGCATATGAAGGGGACTAGGAGGGAGAATCTAGTAGGACTAAGCCCTGAAGCTGTGGGATTTGACGCCATCTCTAAGAGTGTCAGAATTGAGTCAGATTGGTGGGACACCAAGTCAGTGTCCACAGAGAACAGAATTAATTAAGTGGTGGTGTAGACAAAACATACACACAATGGACAAATCCTTCAGAATTTGTACTGTCTTTTAAAATTCATAGTCAGTCATCAATAGGACGACTATGTATTACAATTTGCACATTACTGTACCACATTACTGTTTTTCCAGTATCCCATCCAAAAGGTAAAAGTATCCTCATTTATATAACAAATCAGATAACCAACCTAATTATCAGTAAACTCTCCTATTGTGTGAATGTTTTTCTCACCATAACTGCAACTTGCTGTCCCCTTAGGACACTGCTTCCCCTGTAGCCCTCTCAGGTGGGCGTTGCTTTTCCTCTCACATCCCTCATACCTCAAAGCCTAGAGATAGAGTATTCCTCTTTGATAGCCATTGTCACTTTTTATCCTATTTGCTGGCTTTCTCCTCCTTCTTCATTAAAAACCTCTAGCCCTTTTAAAACGTATTTTCAGACTTTATTACCCCTCCCCCTCCCCATTAATTTTATCTATTAACTTCCAGTCACTCCTCCTCACTCACTGATGAATTCAGCACCTACTTTCCACCACTACTCTTATTATTCTTGGGGACTCCCACACCCCCAAAAGTTATCCATTTTGATAGCCTCTTGATTTTTTTTATCTATCTAGATTTAAAAAACTAGTCCTCTATCAAACCTTAGCATCATTTCTATGGTCACACACTGGAAATTGTTATCAGTAATAACTGTACCACCTCTGAAATTTCAATTTTAAACTTCCTGTTCTCTGAGCCTCATTTTCAAGCTTAGTCATTCTAGAATACCCATTCCACTAATTCTCTGACTTCATTAAGACCTCCAGTCAATGACCATACCAATTTTTCACTATCCATGGTCCAGATATCCTTCTCTGCTTACCCAGCCTAGATTCGATGGTCTAGTATTACAGCACATTACCCTAACGCCCTTCCCCTTTCTCCTTCCCTTGTGCTCATCTAAAAACACCCCAATCCAATTACCTGCTCACTCTAGAACCATTACCAGAGCAGAATGTCACACAAGCACACATGTGCGCATGCACGCACACGCACAAACACACACACACACACACATACACACACCACATAATCATGCTGACCAGATCTATTTCAAATTGATACTCATATCTGAAAGGGGCACACAAGAATGCCAAACAATCCTGCTTTCTCCCCCAGTAAATCCACTCTCTGGATAGCTAGTCCATGAGCTCTCTCTATATACACACATCTCAATATCTCCCTCACACTTAGTTGATAACTTTGCTACATTATTCACAGAAAAAAATGCAATCGGATAAAAATTTTCATATTTTTCCTTCAAGCAAGTCTACCAATCTGTGCATACAGCTATCCTTAATATCACATATTTCTAAAAAAGATTCCTCTTCATTGATTTCTCTGAGCTATTACTTCTCTAAAAAAATTCCTTAACAGTTATTTATATGCTGCTTCCTTCTCATTATTTAGCACAAAACTGAAATGTCACCTCTTCCAGCAAGACCCTTCCCAAAACTGTGACTAACGTCTCATCATACTATCCTACAGGACACCTTCCAATAGCAGTTATCTATACCTGAAATTATTTTATTGTGGTCTGTCTCCAACCACCAAAACTTCCATTTCTTGGACACATGGATTCTGTCTTCTATATTAGCGTATTCTCTATTACCTAAAACAGGGTCTGACACATAATAAAAGCGAAATAAATACACCTACTAAATAAATGGTTTATTGGACTGATTACTGAGAAACACTAAGTAAACCAAGATCTATCTACTAATATACATAAAAGGTAAAACTTACAGACTCATTTACTATATACTGAAACCTGATAATTTTATGGATATCCAACCCTACTTCACTAGTAACAACATCATGTCCATTATCCAAAATAATGGTAAATGAATGGAGAAATATATTAACCAATAGATTTTTTGATGTTAAATATTACAAATAATTCATATATTTCACATTACATATTTATATTTTAATAATGCTGTTATTGAGAATCACCACAAAATAAAACAGAGTAAAAAATATATTTTTACAAATAAGTCAAATACTTTTTTAAATTACAGTTTACATTCAATATTATTTTGTGTAAGTTTCAGGTGTATAGCACAGTGGTTTGACAATCATATACTTTACAAAGTGTTCTCCCCAATATTTCCAGTACCCACCGGGCACCATACATAGTTATCACAATATTACTGACTATACTTCCTATGCTGCATACTCTATGTCCCCACAACAATTTTGTAAGTACCAATCTGTACTTCTTAATCCTTTCACCTTTTTCACCCAGTCACCCAAGCCCCCTCCCTCTGGCAACCATTAGTCTGTTCTCTGTATCTATGAGTCTGTTTCTGTTTTTTTTCATTTGTTTATGTTGTTTTTTAGATTCCACATATAACTGAAATCATACGGTATTTTTCTTTTTCTGACTAACTTATTTCACTTAACTTTTGTTATCAGCAAAAAATAGTAAAGCATTATCCAAAATAACTAGTTGTATTATATTCTACTTCAGTTGTTTCTATATGAAAACTACAATAAAACTAGTTTATCAGCCCTAGCCAGGTGGTTCAGTGGGTTGGAGTGTTGTCCTGTACACCAAAGCATTGTGGGTTCAATTCCCAGTCAGGACACATGCTTAGGTTTCAGGTTCAATCTACGGTCGGGGTGAGTGTGGAAGGTGGCCAATCCATGTTTCTTTTCTTTCTCTCTCTCTCTCTCTCAGCATGTCCTTGAGCAAGGATTAAAAAAACAAACAAAAAAACCCAGTATGATATTGTCATAAAAACTGACACAAAGATCAATAGAACAGAACAGAGAGCCCAGAAATAAACCCAAGCATATATGGTCAATTAATTTACAACAAAGGAGCCAAGAAAATATAATGTGTAAAAGAACAGTCTCTTCAATAAATGAGGCTGGGAAAACTGAAAAGCCATATGAAAAAAATAATAAAACTATACCACTATTTTATACCATACACAAAAATTAACTCAAAATGGATTAAAGAATTGAATATAAGACCAGAAACCATAAAAATCATAGAAGACAACATAGGCAGTAAGCTTTTTGACATCCGTCTTGATAATAATTTTTTTAATCTGACAGCAAAAGCAAAAATAAGCAAGTAGGGCTACATCAAACTAAGAAGCTTCTGCACAGAAAAAAAAAAAAAAAAATCAATAAAATGAAAGGCAACCTACTGAATGGGAAAAAAATATCCACAAAGCATAGCATATATCTGGTAAGAGGCTAATATCCAAAATATATGGAGAATTCATATAACTCAATAGCAAAAAAAAAAATCTGATTTAAAAATGGGCAGAGTATCTGAATAGATATTTTTCCAAAAAAGACATACAGATGGCCAACAGGTATATGAGAAGTTTCTCAACATCACTAATTATCAGGGAATGCAAATCAAAACCACAATACCACCTCACACCTGATAGAATGGCTATTATCTAAAAGACAAGAAATAAATGTGAAGAAAAGGGAATACTTATGCACTGTTAGTGAGGAAAAAAAACTGGTGCAGCCACTGTGTTAAACAGTATAGAGGCTCCTCAACAAATTAAAAATAAAACTACCATATGATCCAGCAATTCCACTTCTGAGTATTTATCTAAAGAAAATGAAAACAGTAACTCAAAAAGATATACGCACCTCCATGTTCATCGCAGCATTATTTACAATAACTGATATATGGAAACAACCTAAGTGTCCATCAATAGGTGGATGGATAGAGAAAATATTATGTATATCCAAATGGAATATTAATCAACCATAAAAAAAATAAAATCTTGCCATGTGTGACATGGTTAAACCTTGAGAGCATTATGTTAAGTGAAATAAATCAGATAGAGAAAGACAAATACCATATGATATCACTTATACATGGAATCATTTAAAAAATTTTAAAAACCACAAATTCATAGATACAGAGAATAGTAGAAGCCAGAGATGAGGTTTTGGGGTGGGAAAAATGGGAAAAGGGGGTCAAAAGGTACAAACTTCCAGTCAGAACATATATAAGTCATGGGGATATGATGTACAGCTTGATGATTACAGTTAATAATACCGTACTGAATATTTTAAAGTTGCTAAGAGAGTAAACCTTAAAGTTCTCATCACAAGAAAAAACTATGTATGGTGGTGAATGTTAACAAGACATATTGTAGTGATCATTTCACAATATACAAATATCAAATCATTAAGTTGTACACCTGAAACTAATATAATGTCATATGTCAATTACACCTTAATAAAAAAATAGGGGCATTATTAGAACATTTAATCACATTAGCTGTGTTCAAGCTTAGTCCCTAAAAAGACTGAGCTTCCTTATTGTTACATTGTTTTATGAAGTAAATAAGTTCAATCTAAACTACTTGATTATCATTATTTTTTGTGACTTATTTCAAACTATAAAGTTCGTGTACACTATTGCAAATTAACGAAGGTATCATCTATTATAGGTCTTCACCTAGCCAATAAAACATTAATGAAAACATTACTGTCCCCATCAGGCACAACCATTTCCTTTCATTTCAAAATAAGAACGTCTAACCCAACTCAACAACTAATCTCATTTCAAATTATGGATTTGAAAAAATGTATTAGAGGCACATTTTAAAAAGCAAATACAGTATAAAATCTTGCTTTTTACTGAGTCAGTGTAATTTTGTTTGTTTGTTTGCTTTTATGGCTATCTGATTTACGTCCTTCTTTTGGGCAAGTTTAGTATGCAACCCTCATTCTTTAAATAGTCCAAAAAACCCACAGTCTTAAGTTGTATGAAAACTTAACCTGGCACTGTCAGCTGAAGACACCATAAATAGCACCGTAAGAACATCTGTGCTAAATTTTAACACTGTTCATTAACAGTTCCATTTTCCTGAGTTTGCGTTTGTTCTTTGGCATCGGCTTAGGGTATAATCCATTTTTCAGAAGGTGTTCCTTGCTGAGGCGAATTTGAGCACCATGCTGAAGCTGGAAAGAGCATAAAGCTCGAAGAGGTCGAAGCAAAGTCTGTTAAGATAAAAAGAAAAAAAACTACACTAAAACAGTGTCTGTGACAAGTCATGATATTCTATCTAGATTTTTTTCTTCAGAAACAAGCAGTATTATCTTTATTATTACTAGCTTTTAACTATGAAAAGCAATAAATACTCTAATAAATACATGATGATTTCTAAAGAAATTATTTATTTAAATCCATACCTTACATACCACTAAGTAACTCCAGTAAAAAGATACAAATCGATTTTCCATATAGGTGATAAAGTCTGAATTTAGTTTTATACATTAAGATATTCAAACACCATGAAAAACTTTTGCTGTTACAATAATTTAATCTGTAACAAGCAGACGACAAGAGACCTTTAGATAATGAAGATTAGTTGATTCATTTTCAGTCACAGAAGGATGTAAGCTTCCTGCTACCTGACAACAATTAGATGATGACCGTAACGGGTAAGTGGTTGACTAATGCACACAGTCCATGGACCACATGCAAGTCAGATAAAAGGTTTAGGTGCACTCGAAATAATTCTAACTGTATATGTACCAGCCTTAATGTAAATACCTACAGGGCCAGCCATTTACCATAAGCACGTGAAATGGGTGAATCCAGGGGATAACAGAGTTTTCAAGGGACCATTATTGCCAACTGCTGGTGCTGAGTGGAGCTAAGGCACTTAGGCTACGGCACAAAGCTTTTTACTTCTAGTTATAAAAGTTCATAAGGTAAAACTTCATAAGCAGAGATGGCTCTATAATAAAAAAAATTTCCCTGAATGAAAATCACCAACTTTTAGTTCAAAATTTTTGTCAATCCAATCAGAGGAGCAAGGAAGGGCAAAAGGATTAACTATTTTGAGTGCCTGGTGTCAGGCAATTAAAGCACATTATCCAATTCAATTCTCACAACACTGAGGTAACTAATATTCTTATATTACGGATAAGAAAACAAGCACAAAGAGATTACATGAATTGCCCACTGGCAAAAAGTAATGATGATAAGTGCAGAAGTTTTAATTCAAACCTGCTTCAGAGCTCATATCATGCTGTACTTCCAAGTGTTTGAAACAGTGCTCAAGAATTAAGCATGAGGATGAATCAACAGACGAGGAAGGCTATGACTTGGAGGAGCCCCACCTCTACAGAATGAAGCCAGCTGGAAAATTACTACTCTCCTCCATCATCTTAAGGCTTTATGATGATGCCACTAATTAAAGGTTATTGGGGGCGGGGGGAGAGAATGTATGGCACAGCTTTCCTCCCCAGGAGAGAGAGAAAACACCTTTGCGTTTCTCAGAAGAATGCACCAATTTTTTATTATAGCTAGATTTGAACAGGCTGAACTTGGGTTTCCCCACTAAGGATGCTAAATTTTTGCCATCTGTAGCAATAAGCAACTTGGGATGTTTCATTATGCATTTCTGCTGCTCATACTCCATCTTATTAGCATCTCCCAAATCACACAAATGATCGTCAAACATTCTTTTCCTACTCCTGGCAACTACAGTATGACTGCTCCTGCTGACTAAAGCAAACAGAATGAGAGGCTAGGACCTCACTATCAGTTTGGGATTTTATGTTCAATTTTAACCATAGATAACAATAATAAAAGCTGAGCAGATGAAGGGTCAGGTCACCATTCTGTGTCTTAAACTTTGCCTGTTGTTAGATATTATACTCAGAACATAAGATAGGTTTCCTGCTATGATGGTACATTAATTAATACCAGAATAATATATCTTATAAAACTGGGAAAAGGGGCAGCAGTACATTAATAGTACTAGTATAAACCCTATCCTGAACCTCAGCCCTACTGTATTACAACTACTATTATTAAACCACCACCACTACCAACATGAAAACTTCCGTTTAGGTTTGTAGTAAAGATCGAATTCCAGCTCTGAGAATAAGAGATATATGTCCATAGAGGATTCTTTTCAGAACCCAAAGAAGGAGAGGAAAGAAAGTTTATTTGTTTTTTAATCCTCACCCAAGGATATGTTTTTATTTCTTTTAGAGGGAGAGAGAGAGACGGAAACATGGATCGGTCCTCCTGTGTACAACCAAACCGGAGATTGAATCCACAGCCTAGGTACGTGCCCTGACAGGGAATGGAATCCACAGCCTTTTGGTGCACAGGAGGATGCTCCAACCAATCGAGCCACCACAGTGTATAATGAGAGTAAAGAAAAAAAGAAGACAGGAAAGAGTACTTCGTGTGTGTGTGTGTGTGTGTGTGTGTGTAGTTATAAAACTTCATTTAGTTACATTCGTTATCCTCTGACTTTTCCTCTTAAGTTGTATTTATCAAAATCTTTCAATGATTAAAAAATCCTAACAATATCAGTTTTATTTTGCTGTTTTTTTCTTTTGCCAGAAGTGCAGTTTCTTACATGTTCCAAAGACTGAGATGTTAATGAATGCAACGAAACATTACTCTTTACTTATGATTATTAATTATATATGAATCATCAGGCTTTCATGGAAATTCAATAAAATGATTAGAGGTTAAAACCTTTTCATATTCTGTAGGCGTTTTTCTCAAAAAGGTATATCTTTTTTATATTCAAAGCACGGTTAATATGATAAACAGGAAGTTGGTATAACCTCCTCAAAAGAACCAATGCAAAAAAAGAAAGTAAAATGTTCTTCTTTTAATTAAAAAGAAAAAAGTTGAGTACAAAAGAACACATAATGCTAAAAGAGAAATACAAAACACTAAAAGAAGAATCTAGGTCCCCCCAAACCTGTATTTGATGTTGTGAACTTAAAAGCAATTTAGCATATTATAAATGTTGCTTGCACAGCTTAGAATATTTAAATAATTTTAAATAATGGGATCTGGAATGCTAAACTAACAGGAAAATACCAGAGAGGAAAAGGTTATAAAAGTACACAAATTTCTTTTTTAAAATTGATTTTAGAGAGAGGGGCAGAGAGAGACGCAGACATCGATCTCGGTTGCCTCCCACACATGCCCCAACCAGGAGAGAATCCCCAGCCTGGGCATGTGCGCTGACTGGAAATAGAACCTGCACCTTTTGGTGTATGGCACAACACTCCAACCAACTGAACCATACTGGCCAGGGCCAAAAACTTCTATCACAGATACATTCTACTTGTCACTTGAGCTACAAACTTAACAAGCTATGCATTTCCAAATTTTCTAGATAAATTTTCCTACTTTCAAAAACTACATAGCCTTCCAAAGATGTACATACCTCTTGTATGTAATTATTTTTCTCTAAGATGGAAAGAGCAACAGCTGCACACTCGAGCGTAGACAGGCACCTATTCGTTGGTTGTGTCCGAATTACATACTGACTAGAAATGCTAGTTTTTAACTGCACCTGAAACCAAAAAATCAGAATAGAATGTAATTTTTGTTTTAAATTTAAAACTATAAATTCAGTGTTTTAAATACTGAATTTGATATTTAATTTAATTTAATTTAATTTAATCTTTCCGAAATTGTAAGTTTAGAAATATTAATATATCAATATTTTCTTTACATAGTATCCTTATGTTATTGTTATTTTCAAATAGAAAGAAAAGGATATTTTCACATATACCTGACAAAGAAAATATATCCAGAATATGTATACACAAAGTCCTACAAATCAAAGCTATAATAGACTAATAACCCCCTTTCAGTGGGTGAAGAAGTGAATAGATACTTCACAAAGAAGATATAAGAAGGGCAAACAGTTATGTGTAAAAGGGCTCAACATGATTTAATGTAAATTAAAATAACGATATAACATTTCATACTCACCAGAATGGTTAAAACCAAAAGACGAACAGCACCAAGGGGGATATGGAGCGAATGAAACTCCCCAGCATTGCAGTGGGAGTGAAAATAGCTTAATCACCTTGGAGAGCCTATTTTATGGTTTACCCTCCCACTATTTAATATAAACTGACAGGTGTTATGTCTGTGTGGGTGTGGGTATAAATACAGAGATATACACACATGCATTATGTGTCCTCTCTTTTTAGATAAAAGATGGCATACTATACATATTTTTATCCAGGAAGATAATATTTTAGCTGAGACCTAATGACTGAGACAGTCTCATATGTGAGAAAGGCAATAAAAATATGAATGTCAACAATTTGGCCTTTAGATTCCTATTTTAATTAAATGAAATTCAAGTAATTTTATACTCACAAAGCCATATTCCTAGCCCACACTCTAATCAGAATCACATTTAAACATGTGTAGCTAGATGAGAATTTCAGTTTTTACTCATACAATATGTAAGTATGGGGACTGAAGGTAGTGGTGTCTAAGTATTAACACACAGCACCTTACTAAAATCAGGTGTTCTCTCTTATTTCCTGGGATCTCTAAAGTCCCGTGAGTCTGTCATTCCTTCACACCATTAAAACTCTCCCATCCGTGGCATCTTGTCCGTCAATCCCTTCCCTCCTTTGTTTCTCATGCACTCCACCCATGATGAGAAATATGTTTCTTCTATTAGAATTTCTTTTTGTTCAAAGAATTCTCCTTTACAACTTGTTTCCTTTCTTTCCTCAGAAAGAGGAAGAGAGAAGAGGAAACAAGGGGAGAAGGGAACAGGGGGAGAGGGAGGGAGAGAAGAGAAAGAAAGGGAGGGAGGCAACGAGGGAGGAAAACGAAGTGGGTATCATAAAAGATTCACTACGGAATGGATTTGCTTTTGGAATATATCCTTTAAAGCATATTTGACTAATAATGTTTTAGACATGATAATATTAAAATTATTCTGCATTTCTACCAAGAGACAAAATGGAAAATAGATGCAGGGAGGGAAAGAGATAGAGGAAAAAAATGAGAAACATATACTATGATCAAAGAAAGCCTATGATTAAATAATTATAAGAATAATTCATGATGTTGATTAAGTGTAATTACTAAAGCTTTAATATTTCATCAAGTCAACTAGTAAAACAGGGTACAGACAACTGCTGTTTCAACACTCAATTTCAAGTCATCACTAGAAGAATTAATAATAGACATCTGATTACAACAAAATCTTTGGGAAACATGCAAGAATCACAGTAAGTTTTGTTTATTGGAATGAGTTTGATTTTTAAAAGAAATTTATTTCAGGGAGGTGTTTTCATTCTTACTGTGACTCATCACATGGCTATAGGAAAACTCAGAATTTGACATTTATCATGTTACACTTCAGAATATCCTACACAAATCACCTCTCCAGGAATTATCCAATAAATGGGTATATGGAAAGAATATATAACTAAGACCTGTCATATTATTAATATACATGTTATTCGAGTATACTAATATGACATTCTCCCAGCTCCTCCTCTTTATGCTTATGTGCTATTTCACCTTCATCACATATTTGATTCAATGAGTAAATAAGGAAGTGCAAAAAGAAATGCTGTTGATCCATCTTTCTGAGAAGTCACAGGCATCATAACAAATAATTTGTCAGAAATTGTGTTATCTTCTTAAATAAAAGTTCAAGAAAATCCAAGGCAAAATTATTCAAAGAAAAAATTAGTGTATGATATCAGCATGGTATACAGAAAGGATTTACTGCAAGACCAGGATTATTGTATCAGACCTGACAATGATTACTTAATCAATCTCAGTCAAGCCATTTCACGTCTCAGTTCCTCCTCCCATATAAAAATCAGACAGCTGGCCTCGGCTACAGCACAGCCGGTCCTTGCAGCAGATCGGCCTGGGGGTCAATCCCTCCAAATGACAACAGCAATCAAGGTTCAACTACAACAGGAGGGTGCACACAGTCCACAGGGGGGGTGCCCCTGGAGCACCCAGCTCAGGTGACTGTGCCACTGGACCCTACAGGACACCTACAGGAGGCTACTCTGCCAAGTCCAGGAGACACAGCAGCTCTACCTAATACATAGAAACAAACATAGGAAAGCAGCCAAAATGAGGAGATAAAAAAATGGGTCCCAAATGAAAGAACAGGAGAAATCTCCAGAAAAAGAACTAAGTGAAATGGAAGCCTGGATTTAGTTACACGTATATTCTTTCCATCTTCATTGCACAGCAAAGTGAAAAAAATTACATGTAGGCATTCGTGCTAACATAGTATTTGTCTATTATTTAAAGAATAATCAGCCAAATTGTGACCTGAAATTACTATCTTCTTATCAGCCTAACAAAATGGTAGGGATATAAATAGCTGCTGACTGATGAATAACTTTTTAAAACTCAAATATACAATAACCACTCTGTGTGAGAAGCCAAAAAGGTAGCAAAGAGAAACATAACATGCATTACATTTTGTGGTGTTGTGGAGTTTAATTTTATTGACAACTGTCCATTCAAATATAGTCAAAATATTGAGATGTTAGATAATACCTATACTTGCTCTGGTAATTACTTTCTTAGACTATTTAAGAGAGCTAGTGAAATCCAAAAAGTAAATTGGTATTTCTTAAATGAATCCACTCAAGCCTAACATCAAGTCCTGTGTAACAGCCATTCATGATACAATAAGATCCACTCAGAAAGGTGGAAAATTCTGTCAACTTTGTAGTATGAAAAACATATGCATAAATGCTATTTGACAAATGAATATGTTTTTAGTGGCACATTTAAAGCTGAATAATTACCAACCAAAAAAGTGACGATGCACTGATAACTGCAATGAAGATAAAAAGAATATGAAAAAAGAATGTGGAATGGAGAATTCTTATCAAATCACAGGGATTTCTTTTCTATTCAGTAGGAAAAATATTCTGATTTCAAATTAAAATTGAATTTTCCCAAAGCTTATCATTCATCTTTGCAAGTGATTTAAATGAAAATTCTATTAAATGGTTCATCAAAAACAGTGCCATGTTAATTCCGCACTTCTTTGTGGAAAGGCATTAATTATAATAAAAGTATCACTATGATAATATACAATATTTAACAAATTGTGGTTTATTGTTATATTGTTTTACACCATCTGCTTAATGAAAGCTTCTCCTGTAGTTTCACTTACTATTATCTTATTTAGACTCTCATCACTTCCTTAATCCATATAAAAGCTGTTTGTGTATATTTAACTTATTGGTGATATCTAGAAACTAATTTCATCTATATTAATTAGTTCTCTTTCTACTAGACAAGGTCAACATTCTAAGCCAGAGACACAGCCACACAAAATCTTTGCAACTACTAGCATGAATTTTATTTTTTTATTTTTCAGTTACAGTTGATATAGCATAACTTTTTTAAAACAAAACTTTCCAACCACCATCCTCAATTTCAAGTCACCATCATTTCCAGCCTGAATATTTGCAAAGTCCTATCTGAACATCTTGCTTCCACTTAAGTCTTCTTATATCATTCTCTATGTGTCAGCCAAGTGTTTCTTTAAAAGCAAATGAGTGTGCCTCTGAAATCTAACAAATAAATAATAAATAGGCAGTGTTTAGAGCAAGAGACATAAAACAATGGCTTTACTCGGAAACATACAGGACTTTGCAGGGATGGATTACAGGTTTCTAAATGTTGAGGAAAGCACCATGTTTTATCAAGAAAGTATCATGAGCCCGGCGGTGTGGCTCAGTGGCTGAGCACAGACCCATGAACCAGGTGGTCAAGGTTTCTTTTTTTCTTTTTTTAAAAATATATCTTTATTGATTTCATAGAGAGGAAAGGAGAGGGATAGAGAGACAGAAACATCAATGATGAAAGACTCATTGATTGGCTGCCTCCTGCAGGCTCCCGAGCCCACAACCCAGGCATGTGCCCTGACCGGGAATCGAACCCTGATCGCCTGGATCCTGGGTCGATGCTCAACCGCTGAGCCACGCTCAGCCGGGCAAGGTTCGATTCTTGATCAGGGCACATGCCTGGGTGGTGACCTCGATCCCCAGTAGGGGGCATGCAGGAGGCAGCCAATCAATGAGTCTCTCATCACTGATGTTTCTGTCTCTCTCTCCTGCTTCCTTCCTCCCTCTGAAATCAATAAAAACATATTTTTTAATAAAAAAATAAAGCATCCTGATGTCTCCTATGTTTAATGGAATATACTGAATTAAAAGTTTTATAGGGCTACATCATTATATTTTGTCATAAAGGAAAAACTGAAGTGATAAGGAAATATTTTTAAACACACACAAACTCTCTGTACTTCCTAGTCAATTTTGCTATGAACTTAAAACTTCTCTTAAAAAAAGTCTTTTTTAAAAAAACTGATCACATTATTACTCATATTAAAATTCTTAGCTTGCCTTAGGCAAAATCCTTAGCGTGGTCTATAAATCACCCATTTCATCAATACTGCTCTCTTCCCACCTCCATCACTACGATACCAGCCAAACTAAGTATGAAAATTTCTTTTCTCTTTCCTTCACTAATTTCTACTCATCC